GGGGGGGGGGCTGGAGGGGATCAATGGGGCGAAAGGGGACATCTGTAATACTTGCAACAATAAAGAATTATTAAAAAGGAAGGAAGGAAGGAAGAGAGGGAGGGGGAGAGAGAGAGAGAGAGGAAAGAAAGAAAGAAAGAAAGAAAGAAAGAAAGAAAGAAAGAAAGAAAGAAAGAAAGAAAGAAAGAAAGAAAGAAAGAAATTAAGAAAGAAAGAAAGAAAGAAAGAAAGAAAGAAAGAAAGAAAGAAAGAAAGAAAGAAAGAAAGAAAGAAAGAAAAAGACATAAAAAAAGACACAGGAAAAGCTGATGCCGGGAAAAGGGAAGCAGAAGGGATGGGTGTCGTGAGCTGCCTGCGGGTTCAGACGCCAGCATTTTCTCACGGGACACCTGCCCCTGGGAAGGCGGTGTCAGAGCTGTGGTGAAGGGAATGCCCTGTCCCCCCAGCGCTCTGCTTCCCATTTACTGTGTCCCCTTCCTAGCACCATTGGAAGGCGAGTTGTTTGGCTACAGTGTCGTTTGTTCATTGACATGGTGAAGTTTGTTCCGCAACATCTCACGTTGCCAGAGTGTAAGTGGGGACGGACCCGCCCTCGTCCCGGGAAATCAGGACGGTGGATTGAGATGTGCTGCTCCTTCAGAGGACCCAGCACCCCAGGGTGCTAGATGTGAACACCAGCCGGAAACACAAATGAGCAGGAAGCACTGGCCTCTGAAAACGCCCTAGTACATGTCTTAGCGAGAGAGGCGCCCTCTCAGGGACAAAGCCTTTTTTTTCGCCCTCATATTAAAGACCTCAGAGCGGGGAAAATAAGTGAAGAACGGATCCTTCCCGTCCCAATCGGTTGTGTCTGTCAGTGAGGGGTCAGATGTGGGTTTTTATTGTTTCTAGAACCTATCAGTCAGTGGTGGATGTTTGTGTGTTTAGAACCTGGAAATGCCCATTTCTGGCCATTTGTATTCTTTTGCCTCTTGAACAGGGAACTAGTTCAAATGTCGCTGAAGGTAACTGTCCACTCTGATGTCCTATGTGCACGCTTCTTCGCTATGAAAAAATGACACTCGGAAAAAGTGGGAAAGGGAAGTGTGGCTTTCAAATTGAGTCAGCGCTCAAGTGTGGCAGTTCCTCATGTTTCCCAGTGTGACCTCTGGGTCACAGAGGTTTGGGAACAGAAGGAACTAGAAGTAACTTATCCCAAGTCACACGGCTGTTCACAGCCCAGGGGTGGGACAGGGTCAGCCCCCCCGCCTAAACAAGTTCTTTCCACTCCGCTCCTTGGGACAGAGCAGCGACCTTCGAGTGCATATGCCGGGGCCCCGCCCGTCCCTCTCCATCAGCCTTGGTGCCCAGGGCCACCAAGCCGGGGCTTCCAGGTCCCGGGGTGGCCTCAGCCGGTCTCTTGTGTCTCTTGTTCCAGGCCTGGCTGGCGGAGGTGGAAGGCAGACTCCCGGCCCGAGGCGAGCAGCGCAGGCAGAGCGGACTGTACGACACCCAGCCGGCCCCGGCCGTCAACAACTGCGCGCAGGCCCGGGAGAGGTACAGTATCCGCGCGGCCCTGCCCTCGGGCAGGCGCAGCTTCACTCGGGCTTCTGATTCTGGACGCGAGCCTAAGCACAGATCCCAGCGCCCCTGTGATGAGGGCCTGTGGGTCTCCTACGAACGGCTTCTGGCTCCACGGGGGACCATTTAAGATGGTTTCGGTTGCCGGCTCTGGGCCGCGCCACGGGCGAGCGGCGTCCTCCCGCTCGGTTGCTATAGTTGCTGTGTGCTTTCTTTCTTGAGCAGCCCGGATGGCAGTTACACGGAGGAGCAGAGCCAGGAGAGCGAGGTGAAGGTGCTGGCCACGGACTTCGACGACGAGTTTGACGACGAGGAGCCGCTGCCCGCCATCGGGACGTGTAAAGCGCTCTACACCTTCGACGGTAACGCTTCGCGACACCCCACTGTCCGAGCTCCCCACTGTCCGGAGCTGTCCGAGCACCCGCCCTGCCTGTGCCTGCCTTTCTGCTAAGCCCCCCAGACCTTCCTCTCACTCCCTTCTGTTCTGCTGAGAGTGTCATCATCAGGTTGCTGGCTGTGTATTCTGCCGTTTGGCCCATGTAATTGAACAACCTTCATGGAGCTTATGTAACTGCAGCGGAGAGAAAGGAGTAGTGGTTATTTCCTGTTTTTGTCCAATATTTACAGAACTCCTGTCTTGAGAAGACTCCCCAGGGGGTGGGATGCAGGCAGTGCGGTGTGGCGTCCACCCCGGAGAACAAAGCAGAGTTGTGTCTAGGGGGCAGCTTCAGCCTCCGGGAGGGGCACAGACGGGCAGGGGGCACGGGGGACCAGGCCTGGGAGGTGTGGCTGAGCCCAGGTGTCGTAGGTGGTCAGAGAGGAATGTAAGACCAGAGGTAGGCGGTGCCCATGGGGCTGGGGGAGAGGAAAGGACACATTTGGATTGTAGGCGGCAAACACTGAGGACGTATTGAGAGGATTTGGGAGAGACCTTGCCCGACCGAGCTGGACCTGGGACGTTTGTTGTCATGTGTGGAGGAGCAATTAGAACAGGATGATGGTTGGAAAGGGGAGCCGGCTGTCGGGAACTGAGGAACCTTGACCCAGTGTCTGCAGAACGTGACGAAGCTGCGGGAGGGCGGAGTGCAGATAAGTTGGGGAAGCCCTGGCATAAGTGCATTTTCATTGTGACAAGACAAGAAAGGGAAGGACCAGGTTAGATGTTCCAATTTCACTTCATGTCTAAAGCACCCCACACCCCTGGTGTCCGCCCCCTGAACCAGGCGCCTTTCCGAGGGCTGTCGGCAGTGGTCGCCGGTCCCGGAAATTATCTTAGCGAACGGCCTTGGGAGCCTCGATGGAGGAACGGACGCAGAGATGCCGCAGCTAACACGCTGCTCGGACTCCTGGCTGATTGCCAGTGGGAGCAAAGCGGGAGGAAATCAAAGACGAGGCGTGAGGGACAAGGGAGACGCCGCTGAAATGGGAGAGGAGGGGGTGTGTGAAGAGGGAGCAGCCATGAACCCAGGTCCGTCCGTCCGTTGGGTTCAGATTTCAGGACAACGCTAGGAGCCTTCGCTGGAGACACAGCCAGACTGGGGAAGGCAGTGGGGTGGGGGTGGGGGGGCGGTGACCAAAGCCCTGGGAGTACTTTCCCCCGGAGGGAGGGAGGGAGGGAGGGAAGGAGGGAGGGAGAGGAGCAGGAGCGGAGAGGACCGAAGGCTTCCCGGGGAAAGTCCCTGCGGCCTAGCCAGGTGGGAGGTGGGGCTCCTCGCCTTGTTGGAAGGGGCAGGGCCAGGCACCTGCGGACCCGCCTCTGCTTTCTCTGCTCCTGTTTCCTGGCCAAGCTCCTGTTTGCCCGTAAACCTCATATATTCTGATCTTGTTTTCAGGTCAGAATGAAGGAACCATTTCAGTAGTTGAAGGAGAAACGCTGTACGTCATAGAGGAAGACAAAGGTGACGGGTGGACCCGCATTCGGAGAAATGAAGACGAAGAGGGCTATGTCCCCACTTCATACGTCGAAGTGTATTTGGACAAAAATGCCAAAGGTGCTAAGACTTATATTTAATACAGCTTTTTAAAAACTTTTTAAAAGCAATTGGAGTTGTTTCTCCCCACAACTGTGACTGCTCCAGGCAGTTCTTCAAAAGCCTGGCCGGAGAGCCGCCCGCAGAGCCTGGCTCCCGCCCTCGCGGCATTGGGGCCGCTCCGAATTCCTTGGCTAGTCTTGACTAGTATCGAGTTTCGCTTGCTGATGGCATTTATGTGGAAAGCTGCCAACTGCCAGTTTACAGCTCTGTCATTGGAAGTCGGGTAAACACTTCTCCTTCCGGCAGCATCTGTAGATAACAACAAAAAGTTGCCTTCTAGCTTCTAATCAATATTTCCCAGTTTCAAAGGCCGCACACCCCCTGGCGCAGCAGATTCAGCCTCTCATTTGTATCTCGTGTCTGCCACCAATGGAACTACCATAGAAGGTTACATTCTGTAACTTAGTACATTGAACTATGCTAGTTTGTTACATTTTACAGTCATTCACTTTGGAGGAAGTCATACATAAAAGCTCTTCCTCCTTGAATAAAGAAGCAAGTAGACGATTCATTTATTGGTATCAAAAGTGTGTAATTTTACCTAAACCTGGTAAAGGTCACTGTTAGATCATCGAGATTATCCTATTATGTCTATTTGATCCCAAACAAGCAGTTGAAATCTGGAAAAGTTTGGTCAATTTTACCCAGTTGATTTTTTTGTTTGTTTATTTGTTAATCCTCACCTGAGGATATTTTTTCTATTGCTTTTCAGAGAAAATGGAAGGGAGGGAGGGAGAAAGAGACAGAGAGAGAGACACAGAGAGAGAGACTGGTTGCTTCATACACACGCCCCAACCAGGGGTGGGGAGGGAACCTACAACCCAGGTACATGTCCTTGACCAGGAATCGAACCCGAGACCCTTTGGTGTGTGGGCCAACACTAACCAGCAGGCAACACCGGCCAGGGCCCCAGTTGATTTTTACACACGACTCTCCATCTCCCTCCGAGGTTGACAGAGCCGGTCAGCTTTGCCAGTGCCCTGTAGGGGAGCGTCTGTAAGAACAGCACTCACTCTGCTCTGTCCTGTCGGAGGGTGTGTGGCGAGTGGAGCTGTGGTCGGCTAACCTGCCCCAGGTGGGGCTGTGTCCACACAGACACAGCCCCCATCCCTCACTTTTCAAAGGGGGGATTAAAAGAAATCATTGGCATCTTTAAGCCCCCAAGTGTGGGTGGACTGAGGAATTGTTTTAGAGTTGCTAGCTGGCCTCATACAGTTAACTGTAGCCAGAATCAAATACACCGTTTCACCATCTTCCAAGGAAACTGGGTCACATGGGGATTTGCATTTCGAAGTTGGCAGGACAGGCGGTGAGATTGTCACGTGCACAGGCGGTGCCAAGCCCAGTGTTCGTGCCCGTTTCCAGGATCCGCCCTGCGATCATGTAGGACAGCTACAAGAGGCTCAGAATGAAGGTGCTCGTCCAGGTTCCCCTTCTGCTTGGCTTTGGAAAGTATTCGTGTCCTTTAAATGGGAAATGAGCTCCTTGCCTGGACACTGAGGGCTCCTTTAAAAAGCTCAAGTCAACTGGGAGCTGATTTTTAAAGCCACAGCAGCGCCCCGGGTGGGAGTCCAGGATCCGACTCCAGCAGGAAGTTCGCAGCCATTGCTCCCAAGGGCCACCGAGGGGGAATTTAGTAGCTTTTAGGTCATGACAGCCTGATTTTTAAAAATGCTTTTTACTTTTAAATACACAGACCCGGGAGCTTGCCGAGCTAGTGGGTCTTGTCACCCAGAGTCCCCCAGTGGTCACGTGGGACACACTTGGAATACAGTCTCAAAGGCAGAAAACCGATGGGTCGGCCTGCGTGTTTAAACAGAACTTTGTCATTCAAATTTCCTCAGAATTATTATACCAATCACGGCACGCAGCCTGAGCCCAGCCCTCTCGGGGGGCCCCCCCCCCCCCCTGTTCGGCAAGGCAGTGAGAAACCAGCCGCCCCTTAGACCACAGCTGAGGGCCTGTAACCTCATTTCCAGCCGATGAGCTACTGGAGAAAGCAACCTCAACATGGCAAAAGTCTTAAATGGGGCAAGACCGCGTAGCCTTTTACAAGCCGGCCCTGAAAAGCGTGGCATTCCGTGAAGTTTCTCCCTTTGTTTTGTTTTTTTGTTGTGTTTGTTTTTCCTTTAGTGGTATGCAAATTCAGTTCAGAAAACAGCTCCGTTGGTTTTCAGGAGGAGCGGTTTGGGTGCATAAATTATTATTATTATTAAGTTGTACCCTTGTCTCAATAGCCCAGGAATTGATGTAATATTGACTCAACAGTGATACTTTGTAGTTTCAGTTCACTGGAACAATTCCCCCAGGACCAGGAATGTCCCTTTCCGCCCAAAGTATACTTTGTTTTCTTCCCTAGTTATCTGCTCAGACAAAAGCAGCCAAGTCTCAGCTTGTTTATCAAGCTTTCTCCTCTCGCTTCTGTTGCTAATGTGTGTGCAGAAGCCATTCCCTCCCTGTTCATAGACCCGCCCCGCCTCCCCTACGGCACCGCCCGCCCTCCACGCACCCACCCCGGGGCCGCCCTTCTGTCTGCACTCTTGCCCTTGTGCGTGTGTGGCGTCTACAATGTGACCCTTTCAAAACTGCCAAAATATTTAGACTAGAGTATCTCCCGGTGGCCCCTGGATTGTGACTTTCGGCTCTTACGGTTTTGTTTTTGAAATTGGTTTCTGTGAGTACGTCCATAAGCCCTCCCCCAACACGTGTGTATATGCAACTTAAAAACTGCGAGGATTACTTGAATGCGTTGTTTTAACGTTTTGCTCTTTTTATCTGTTTGTTTTATTGGTGATTCCGCTGCCTAATGACCTTTTTGTTTTTGTAACCGCGGGGGAAGCCGGAGGACTGTCGGTAGCTAGGGCCCTGCCGGCTGCTCCACTCTGGTTTATTGTAGACGCTTGGGTTCTGAGTAAGTTTTGTTTGAATGCGGCCCACGTGACCGTTTCTCTCTCTCCTCGCCCTGAAAGAAGAGAATCTGTCTGGCTCCTCTCAGCTGTACCTGTACCGCCTCTAATAAACAGATTCTTCTCCGTGTTGTCCAGTGATTTGTACCTTTCTGAGAAAATGACTGCTCTCGTCCTCGGTCCTGGGAATGTCCTCGCCAAATGCTTCCTAAACATTCTGTCCTTGGCAAGCCCTTCCCCCACGACACCCGTGTCCACCCTGCGTGCACCTGAGGGCTGAGTCTGTCTCTGGTTTCTCTGCTCCCCCTGGAGATGAAGAACTTTCACTGTTTCTGATAAACATCCGGGATACGCTTCCTCTTCACTTGACGCTAAAGGACCAGGCACCTCGGTCTGAGAACTGGGCCTCACTTCCTGGCTTCATTCCGGGAGGCCGGTCACCTTCCTTCTCTCAAAACGGAACTTGTTAGAAAGATGAGCTGGGTGGGTGGGTGCTGCCACCCTCTGGGCGGGCTTCTCTGGAGGAAAGCGTGGAGATCAAACCGTGAAAGTTCCTTATCTGTGGTGTCGGTGGTAACCAATCCCTCTAAGGTTGCCCTCTCCCCCCCTCCCCCAGCGCGGTGCCCTGTGCCCGCCCCTGACCTCGGCCCCCGTCTCTAACATAGCTTTTCTTTCTGTTTGTGTTGTAGATTCCTAAGGTGGCCAAGGAGCCAGAGCCGGGAGCCTTCTCAGGAGAAACCCTCCGGTCTGCTTGTCTCCACAGGCCTGGCTGTGAACCGTGCGCTCGGGCTGGGCTGCGGAGTGGCCTCGTCTTCGGGCCGAAGGGACCCCCATGCCGTGCAGCTGCTTGCCTCTGCTCTTTTCTTTTCTTTCCACAGCATGCTCCTGTGGCCACTCCGCCCAGGCCCCTCCAGCCACCTCTTGGGTCAGAGCTGTCCCCATCCCAGTCCCACCCCGAGCAGGACACGACAGCAGCTGGACACGGCTCCCTCCTCCCCCCACTCCGGCCCTGGCCTCAGTCCTCCTGGCTGCTCCGGCCCGTCCACGGTTCACACTGTGCCTTTTGTGAAAACCTTGCCACTGGTCTCCCAGGGAGACCGACAGAATCTGGACAAGAAGGTCGGACCCACCAGGCGGACTGCGCGCCCGGTGTCCGTGACGTGGTCCCGCGTTTACGTTAGAAAAGACTCACCTTTGCCCAAGTCCATTGAGCCTTCGGTGGGCCTTTTCTGGTGACGGGTCCTCACCTCATGCTGAGTGTCGGCCCTTGCAGCACTTCACAGCCTGAGAGTGACAGTGGCGGGCACCGGGGCGGACACACGCAATGCACACACACACACACGCATACATGCACATGCATGTGTGTACACATGTATGCACATTTTTGTTTGGGGCCCTGCCTTCAGTGGGTCCACACTGGAAGTTGAATTCCGGCCCTCGGCCCCGCCCTGCTGTCCTGCCTGCGTCACCCTTGGGGGGGGGGGGCGAGGGCCGTGTCCCGGAGAACTGTGGCTGTGGCACTTGGTGACCGAGGAGCACCCCACCACACCTCTGCATTAGCTCGTCGCAAAGTGAAAGTTCCCCTTTTCTTGGATTCCAAGATCTTCGTCTCTAGGATTTAGCGCTTCCGTCACCAAAGGCCTGTGCTCTGTCCTTCGAGTGACCCTGCGGCTCCAGCTTCCGCGTCCGCCATGTGCTCTGGGCCACACGGACGCGGAACTCCCTGCGTTTGCTTCCTGGGCTGCCTTTCCTTCCTCCGCTCTCGGGGGAAACCGTGAGGCCGCGCCGCCACTCACGCCTAGGGCGGCGGGCTTCTCTCTTTTGGTGCAGAGCAGCCGAGAGGTCACTGGCCGGGAGTTTCAGGGACGGCATCGGGCCTCTTCCTTCTGTTTGGCGTTGGGATGCGAGGCGTCACCTCAAGCATCCTCAGTTCTGGACGTTGATGAATCCAACACAAGGAAGTCTCCTAGGAGCCGGAGGGCAGGAGCTGGGGCAGGTCCTGAGGGGTGGGCCGTGGCCAGTAGGAAGATGGCTCCTCTCGGCAAACTAGGGGTGACCACACACCACCCTCTGGTGACTGGGATCCTGGGGGAGCAGGGCAAGAGGAAGTGGCTTCAGGTTTAGGGTGAGCGAGTGGCCAGCCTGGGCCCTCTCGCTCTTCCTTCCCAGAAGTGGGGCTAGACCCGGGCTCACACCACCTGCCCGGACCCTGCAGAGGGGGCAGCCCAGTGCAGCAAAAGCCAGGATGCCAAAGGCGAGAGGAGTCAGAACCCCCCGCATCCCTGCAAACCAACAGGTGCCTGGTTAACCAGGGCAGGCGGTCCAGCTCTGCCCAAGGCTCCGGGGCGGGTGACCTGGTCTCCAGGATCCGCGAGTGTCACCTGTCCGCGGGCCACTCCAGGGCACACGGATGTGACGGCTCATAAAACCGATCCCAGAGCCTCTAGTGCATGTGCATCGCATCTCCTAATGGGTCAGGACAGTCATTCCGTGCAGCCCAGGGGGAGGGAGACGCTGCAGCAGCCTGTCCTCTTCACGTCTGTTACGCTCGGTGTAGAATATGCTGTGTCCTGTGTCCCCTGCCCCTATCTTTTCCTTCCGCACCGCCTGCGCCCGATAGAGTGGACGAGCGCTTTTCAGCAGTGACCTGGGTGCCTGCTCCCCGCGCTCCGCTCTGCCCAGCCGGCTCTTCAGGAAGGAGGTGACTATCTGCCAGCCCAGGTGTCACTGACTCTGGGCCTCCCCCGTGGAATCGTCTGTTACAAAGGAGCCGTCCACCTCGCGTAGGAGCTGGACCTCCCCACGTGCTGCCCGCCTCCCTCGGACCCGCTGCTGTCACTCCACCAACGTTAGATATCGTGTAAGAAGGACTTGAAACAGAGAGAGGAACGTGTCCTTGCCCCGCTTTTCCCTCGCGGGATGGAAATCACAGGAGGCCGGCCCACGTGAGGGTTTCATCTGGGCCTGGGAGCTCTTAGGTCGCCAGCGGCCCGGAGGCCTCGCCTGCCTTTGGCAGCAGCTGTCATCACGGGAAGTTTACCGAACAGAAAACGTGATGTTACGTGGTCATGGCTCCGCCTCCTGTGCTTCTGTCACCCAAACCGTGACCCGAAGCTGTTGTACCCGACGGGGCGCACCTGGCCACAGCTGGTTTGTGCTGCACTAACCCTGACTGTGGAGGCACCGAGGCCTGGGCACGGCCATTGCCAAAGTTCTGGAGATGGGATTACACCAAATGAAGTTCCACTGGAAGGCTTCTCCGGACCCTGTACCTCCATGTTAGCCCTCGGTGTTAAATAAAAGTCTCCCTGGCACGGTGGCGCCGAGTGCTTTTCTGCACAGCGGTGACGTCACCGAAGCAGGCAGAGTCCCTGGGGCTGGGGCTGGTCAGCACCTCTCACCCCATTACCTGGGGACCCGGACCGGTCGGTCCTCCCGGTCTGCTGGGGGCGGGGCTTGTGGGCTGGCTCTCCCAGCCCCGCCCGAGGGGAAGCTGTCCCCCCTCCAGGAGGCAGAATTCAGGTGGCCTTGTCCAGGGGTTGGGGGAAGCTTGTGGTGACCAGGAAATGTTTCCTTGCAAATTCAGCTCCCGCACCTTTAGGGGTTCAGGGGCCCTGTTGTGGGGGTTGGGGCATTTCATAGGCGTCTGTGCACAAGCGCTCAAGCCCACCTGGGGGCAGCTTGGCTGAGAAGCCCTGGTTCCGTGAGGCTGCAGACTGTGGGCTCTGAAGTATGGGGCCCCCTGCCTGCAGCCGCCCCCCCATGTGCGCTGGGAGCCCTGCTTCCATAGCCAGCATTGAAACTCTAACCCCGGCCCTGAGGAAGTAGACGGACCTCTATTTCCCAAGGGTCCTTGGAGCAGCCGTTGTGAGCAGCCAAGTTGGGCTCATTGCTGAGGGGGAGGCGAGGTCAGCGCTCCCTGCGGCCTTGGCCTCCTCCCACCGGGGGTGTGACCCACCTCTAGGGCGAGAGCTTGCCAGCCCCCAGAGAAGGCTGATGCCATCCGGGCCAGAGCCTCCACGGCCGGCCCGGCGTGGTTCCCAGTGAGAGCCGAGCCGGGACAGGGACCGGGTGACCTGGGTATCGCCCGGAGGCCTCCTGTCTGCCTGTCTGCTTGTCCTCTCGGGAGCCTGTTTCCAGCGCGATCGCTGTGGGCTTTGTCCCACGTGGGGAACAGTCCCTGTCAGAGATGTAGGGTCCCGCCCACGGGGACCGGCCTCCCCTGAGGCCTGCAGGGGTGGGCGCTGGTGCTGCCTGGGCCCGTCCCCACTCTCTGGGCCTCGGTTCCGGGTTGTGGGTGAGGACGCCACGGCCTTGGGAGCTGCTGTGGGAACAGGAGGCCGTCGGGAGAGCAGGCGGCTGACTCCGCAGCAGCTGGCAAACGTTAGCTCTGATCCGAGCTTCTCCAGGCGCCGCCATGGCGTCCGCGTCGCTGATGCCACACACCGGCCTCTGGTCTGAAATGCTGTGCGAGCCCATCTTTTTTTTTTTATGAACTTTTTTTAAGAATTGATTTCAGAGAGGAAGGGAGAGGGGGAGAGAGATGGAATCAATGCTGAGAGAATGTTGGATCGGCTGCCTCCTACACGCCCCGCACTGGGGATGGAGCCCGCCACCCAGACGTGTGCCCTGACTGGGAACCGAACCGTGACCCCCTGGTTCCGAGGACACTGAGCCACACCGTCTGGGCTGCATGTGTCCATCCTTATGCCCGACTTGGTTCAAGCCTTTAGGGGGTTGGCACCTCTCCCTGCCTCTGGTGACTCACTGCCCGGCTGGGGTTGGACACAGGTGGGGGCCACGCTGAGCCAGAGCGGAGGATTGGCTTTCTGGTTGACGCGGCTCCTCAGGGAGGTCCGCGAAGCTCCGGGCACCGGGCCACACCCGGCCCCTCCTTCCCCACCCGCCACACCCGGCCCTGCTGCTGGGCACACGGGGGCGGGGGCGCCCTCTAGTGGGAGAGGAATCCATGCCAGGAGAGAACTGGGTCCCCCTCTGGGTGACGAGGAGGGACATGGAAGTGGGCAGAGGCAGGGGTTCAAGGCCCCCCCCATTTTGTGTTAAAGCAAAGGGGTCTCTGGAATTGTGAAATCCACTGGCAGCCCAGAGACAGTAAGAGACGGAGAGGGAGCCAGGTGAACTGCTGCTGGAGAAATGGGGGTGCGGGTCTGAGTGCAGGAGGGGCAGGGTGGTGCAAACGGCAGGCCTAGCTCTGGGGGTTCACGTCCCACATGTCCAGTCCCTGCCGCCGCCCGCCTTGCCTAGAGGAGGCCTCTCCTCTCTGGCTGCTGCTCAACTTTTCTGAGAAGGGGAGGCGGTGAGCCGCGTGGCCCAAGCCCTGGGACCTGGGATTTCAGTGCAAAGGCGGCAAGCTGGTGCTCGGCAGCCACCCTGCGCCAGGAGCTGCTTCTGCAGTTTCCCCTGCCTCTGCAGCCGGTATAGTGAGCGATTCACCTAAACGACCTCCCATTCGCTGGGACAGCGCTGGGCGCCAAAAGTCCTGAGAAGCAGGAACTAAAGGCCCGCGTGCCTTTGTCCTCAGAGCCAAGGGGCCAAACGCTTGGGGAGGAAACTCGGATTTCCTCCTCCCCCTCCTCCTCCTCTTCTCCCCGCCCCCTCAGTGGCCCCCAGGAGCAGAAATGGGGGAGATTCTCTGGGTCCCGCAGCAGCTGCCCCCAGCGTGCCTGTCCTTCCCCCGCACAGGCCCAGCCCTGCCCTGCCCGTCCTGTGGATCCTGGGCCCAGTTCCCTCCAAACACCCTCGCCTGGCAGGTGTCAAAGCCTAACCGTCCTGGGCGCTTTCCTGAACACAGTGAGTGTGAAATGCTTCGGCTCCTTCCCGCTTGTCCTAAGGGCGTCCTGTCCCTCAGGGCTGGAGCCAGGGGCTCCCAGGGGCTTCGGCCCAGCGGCGACCTCAGGAGAATGTGTTCGTGGAACTCAAGCTGAGGAGAGGGAAGGAGGAAGCAGGAAGGCCTGCAGGGGGCTGCACCTGGCAGGTGTATTTCTGAGCAGGTTTTGAGCAGAAGCGCAGGCAGGTGGAAAGGCAGGTACCGAGCAGCCAGCCAGGCTCCCCGGCTGCAGGGGGCACTGCGGGAGGGAGCCCCCCTCCCCCCACCCCCCTGGGACAGGATGGAGGGACAGCTCGTGGGAGAAAGACCGGAGGCCCGGCCCCCGCGCTTCCTGTCTCCGCGGTCTGTGCGCTGAGCAACCGCAGGCTCCTGTGTTGTCTTCGGGCTCCGCAGCTGAGCTTGGCTGAGCCACTGGAGAGCAGGGTATTTTAAGCGAAAACAGTAAGGAGACATTTTCAGGCCAGTTGGTGCCTAGTTCTTTCTTGCTCACCTTCCTGCAGAATAAGCCAATGTCTCCAACCCCCAAACCACTCAGACAAAACCTTTCCATTCTCATCCTCCACGTTCAGCAAGAAAAGCCGAGCCCAACACACGCACATGGATCCCACGCGCACGCTCAGGTGTGGGCAGAGCTAAGCTATCACTCAGGCACACACGCTGTGAGAAAGCTAAGGGGGGGTGTGAAGGGCACGAGGCCAGGCGGGACCCCGCGGGGGGACGGCGGCAGGTGCTCCGAGGCTGGTGCCTCAGGACCTGGTGCATACCCAGCCGCACTGTCACCCATTCCATTCCTGGGGTGAGCTTCCGCACATGCCAGCCCGACAGCATCGCACCAGTGAAGTTTAAAGAACTCCCCCCGACCCCCAATACCAACAAACCAGCCCCGCCGCGGGGACTGGACTCCAGCAGCGCTCACTGTCCGGAGCCCCAGTGCGGACACCGGGCCAGGAAAGGTGCCCGGGCAGGGGGCCCTCAGGGCCGGGAGGGTATTGCCTGCTTGGTGGCACCGAGTCTGTGGCGTGGTGCCAGGAGGGGCACAGCCTGCGGACGTGCTGGCCTGTCCTCGCCCTCGGCCCCCGCGGGCCCACTCCTTGGAGCCGGGCTCGTTCCGGGAAAGACGGGCGCTGCCTTCTCGCTCCTGCAGCCTCTCCGCCCTCAGAGCCGGCAAAGCCCCTCCACGTCCCGTGCCTGTTCGTCACGTCAGTCACCGGGGATGCCCGCCCCTCCCCACACAGGGGGCTTCAGGCTTCCCTCCCGTGACAGAGACACAGCGAGGGCTGTGGGGAACGCGGGTGGGTTTATTATGCATCTCGCACACAGACTACACGGTGCAGATGTGGCCAGCTTCTAGCCCGCACCGCGGAAGCTCCGTGCTGGCGTCCCCGCGGGGTAGCAGCAGCTCTCAAGACCCTGGGGTAAGCGCCCAGAAACCCAACGGGGCTGCTCTTCGATCGCCTGGGGAAGGTCCCAGGTCCTGGAGAACGAGGTCGCAGGCCTGAGCTGCAGGGCTCTGCCCGCTGGGATTTCCGCCACATCTGCCACTTCGAGACTGAAGTCCACAGTATTTGGGGGCTTTGGTCCCAGGACCCGCCCTCCCCACACTTCACTTTGGCCCAACAAGGTGAGCATCGGGCCCAGCTGCTTCCTCCATGGAAGCTGTGCTTGGAGGTCGGGGCACAGTGGCCTCACTCAGCATCCAGAACACACTCCGTGTGACAGCTGTCCGGGCCACACCTCCAGCCGAGGCCTGGTGTGCGGGAGGGAGCCCTTTTCTCTGCCCCCCCCCCCCCCCCTCCGCCCCGGGAGCTGCATGAGCAGCAAATGACAGCAGCGAGAGCATCTGTTTCCCCACTGGTTCCTGGCGGGCGGCTCACAGCACAGGGTGGGGGCCAGCTGCCTCCGGACACAGCCCCTCGAGTCCCAGCGCCCAGGGTTCAGGAGCCTCCCTGACCACGAGGAGGTGCGGGGTGAGGCGGGCACTCGGCTCTGCCTCGGGCCGCAGCCTCTCCGACCCTCTGTCCCAAAGCCACGCCGCTGAGAGCTCCGAGCAAAAGCCGGGCCTCCGCGGGCGGGAGGCGGGTTGGGGACCCGACGACGACGACAGGGACGTGTGGGCACGTCCAGGACGAAGACCCGAGTAAACGCCGCTGACCGTGGTGTGGACCAGCCCGAGGGGGTGGCTCCCGTCCCAGCGTCTCACTGGGACCTAACACTCTGCCTCTCACACACCTGGGCCCCGCAGCGCCGGCCGCTCCCCAGC